GTATAAATTTTAGAGCATTCTTGACGTTGTGAACACTGACCTTTTCCTCCCAAAATGTGTGCATCTAATATATCATCCTAGCCTTATCTTTTTGTCTCTTCTATCCTCCAATTCCCAAAAGTTGGTGGGGTAGGAAATTCTTGGCTGGAAATGCTTTTCGTTAAGAATGTTAAAGATGGAATTCATAGTTTCTGCTGTGAGGCTTCTGCAATTCTAATGGGCTTTTCCCGGTAGGTGGTCTGTCCCTTCTCTCTCACTGTCTTTAGAATTTTTTCTTTCATGTTTACCTTGTGGAGATGAATTATTTTTGTCTTGGGGATGATCTTCTCATATAATACCTCACAGGAGTTCCCTGGGTCTCTTGCATCTACATGGTCACCTCTCTAGTGAGATAGGGGACATTTGTTGGATGAGCTCTTGGAAGGCTTGTTCCAGGGTGTTCTCAGTTTTTCCTTCTGTCTCAGGAATGCCAATCAGCCATAGATTTGGTCTCTTTACATAATACTAAACGTCTTGCGGGCTTTGCTCATTTCTTCTTGAGTCTTTTCTCCTTGTTTTTGTTGGACTGGGTTCGTTCAATAGTTTTATCCTCATTTTCTGATGTTCTTCCCTCTGCCCAGTCAATTCTACTGCCCAGGTTTGTCATTTGTGCTTTGAAATTCCAGGAAAGAATTTCTTCATTTCCAGGAGTTCAGATTGAACCTTTCTTACATTGGTCAACTCAGCTTTTATTTCCCACACTGTTTCTGTTGCCTGTGTGACCTCTACTTCTATCTTCATGTGACTTTCCTTCACTATTTTTGCCATGCATAGGTTCAATTCTATGTCTGTATTCTACTCTGATTGTCTTTTAATTTTTTACTGGCTTGAACTTTCTCCTGCATGCATTTTATTATGAAGATGTTATGCATTTTATATAGTCAGATCTGTCACTTAAAATTTTTAATAATTATCTTCTCTTCTCAGTATTAGTTTGATTTCATGTGAGGCCACGTATTTTTGTTGTTCATTTAAGTAGAGTTCACTTTTCTGAACTTATCTGTTGATATATACTTATATATAAAGATAGTTTAGTAGGGATAGCTGATATGGAGTTCCTCTGCATTGCTTCATGCCTGTTTTGTCAGCAGGTGTCTTTCTTGAGCTGGAGGGATGAGTGTAGACTTTGTGTGTCCACGAGTGTGTGTGTCTTCAGGGACTGTCAACTGGCAGGCTTTATCTTAATCCAAGTGGATAAAAAGCAAACAAGTTTTCTTTGCTTCATCTTAGCTCTTACCCAGTTGTCAAAATAAATTACTCTGGCGCAGCATATTTAGAAGGCTAAACAGCAACGTGTTAACAGGGAGGTGAAGTTATGAATGTTTTCTATTTCATTCTTGTTGTTTATCTTTGTGTCTCATTTTTCTAGCATAGAATGTTAGCTTATATTTCTCTCACTCATAAACAAAGATCATCAAAAGAATCTTGCTTTGACTTACCCACTCGGTCTTTGTACAAGGGAAATGGCAGTCTCACTTCTTGCTTGGATTCAGCCTGTCCAGCAGTTTGGAAAGATAACATCTTAATTAGTGTTCAGAGAATTCTCAAAATGGAACACACTTAAAGTCCATTTATAAATAAGATGTGAAAAACAATTTGTACTAGTATGGATCACCGTGGGAGGTGCAATAACAAATGTTGATAGGTGACTTATTTTAACTGACCATCTTTAAAAAGCACCATCTCATCCTTCATTCCAGCCTACACAAGAGGTACTCTATTGCTTAGCCACAAAGAGCATTAAAAATGAGGAGGTTTTGTGCTTTTTGTGCCTAACCCAAGACTGCACAGAGACTCTCCAACATTCAAGAATTGACACAGATGAACAAACAGATCTAAGACTATATTAAAGCAGGCAATCGAAATTACTTCCAGGGTATAATAATGTCATTTGTAGACATCAGAAATGTGAATTTTCTTCATACATGCTGCCCTCTAAGTCAGAGTTCCCCACCCCCAGGCCATAGACTGATACCAGTCTGTGGTCTGTTGGGAACTGGGCGGCACAGCAGGAGGTGAGAAGCGGGTGAGCAAGTGAAGCTTCATCTGTATTCACCGCTGCTCCCCATTGCTCACATTACTGCCTGGGCTCTGTCTTCTTTCAAATCAGGGATGTCATTAGCTTCTCATAGGAGCACAAACAAAATTGTGAACTGTACATATGTGGGATTTAGGTTACATGCTCCTTATGAGAATCTAATGCCTGATGATCTGAGGTGGAACTGAGGCGGTGATGCTCGCACTAGGGAGTGGCAGTAAATACAGGTTAGCATTAGCAGTGAGCTTTGACCGCACAGACTCCATAATAAATCGATTGCTTGGAGACTCATATCAAAATCCTATCAGTGAGTGGCAAGTGAGTTGATGTGCTTCAGTTGTACAGTTGCATTTGGTGGCAGACTTTAAGTCAGAATCCAACACTTATTTCAGTCTGTGCATGGCCCAACTGTTATTTTATTTACTATTTTCATCCACACCTCTTTTTTAAAAAAGAAAAGGCGGGTAGTATAATTATTTCATTGTATATTACAATGTAATAATAATAGAAATAATGGGCACAATAAATGTTATGTGCTTGAATCATCCCCAAACCATCCCCAGTCCATGGAAAAATTGTCTTCCATGAAAGTGGTTCCTGATGCCAAAAATGTTGGGAACCGCTGCTGTAAGTGGCAAATAAAATGCAAAGGCTGGGAGTGGGGAGGATGTCCAGCCAAATGTATGGCCAATATGCTTTGTGACTAGAGCAGCATTTGGTATTTAAATATTTTGTCTGCAATCTTCCAAAGATTGATCCATAGGGGGCAGCTGGAGAAGCAGCTTATCAGTGGCTAAGGACTTTACTTTTAGGTTCATGCAGACCTGTATTGATTCCAGCTCATTCCTTACTGGCTGTGTGACACTGGGTATATTATCAACTCCCTAAATTATAGTTTTCCAATTTTACAAAATAGAGGTATTAATTTCTGCCTCATAGTGTCCTTGTGAGGATAAAAGTAAGTAATGCATATAAAATGCATTTGTCATCTAGTAGGCACATGGTTAGAGGTCATGGAATTGGGAAATGAGCTGAGACCAGGTAGGATTCTGGTGGGCCACTGATCAATTCTCATTCTTCATCTTGACATATCATTAGCATTTGATACTTCATGCTTGACAAACTTAATTCAATTTGCCTCCTGGGTATAATCAATATGTAGTTTGGTTCCTCCGTATTTAAAAATAAAACCCAGGTGTTTGTCATGGTATGTGAGTTGCTATGGTCAAGGGAGAAAAAAAGTTGGAATAAAAGAGTGGTCGTACCACGTGAGGGGTGGGATAAGTTAATATCTTTGTTAAAAACTTAATAAATATATATTCGATCTTTGAGTGGCTAAATTTCCTGCACCCATAGACTTAGCAGTCTTCATATGATAACTATGATATGATGAGATTCTGCAAGCCTGACCAGTCTCTATTTTCTGTGTCACCGAAGGATGACAAGACACTGTAGTTACTAACTGAGTGGGATAAGGCTCTGGTTACTGGTAGGAGTAGTAGGTTCTACATAATACTCATTCCTAGCCTAATCCTTACCCAAACTCTATGCTGTGGTAAAAGTTTTATTTTTATTTATTTCATTTTTGAGATGTGGTCTTACTCTGTTGCCAAGGTTGGAGTGCAATGGCATAATTATTGTTTACTATAACCTTGAACTCCTGGGTTTAAGTGTTCCTTCAGCTTCAGCCTCCTGAGTAACTGGGACTACAGGTGCACATCACTATGCCCAGCTGCATTCTTTTTAAGAGACAGAGTCTCACTATGTGGCCCAGTCTGGTTTGGAACTCCTGGCTTTAAGCAATCCTTCTGCCTTGGCCTCCTAAGTTGCTGGGATTATAGGTGTGAGGCATCAAGCCTAGACTGTGGAATGAGTTTTATGATCAACTTACACAGCCTTCACAAATTCCAAAATTCTTCCAAATACTGTCACAAAAAGATATTTGGATTAGATGGATGCTAATTACTATAAATTCAAGGTTCTGTGGTCCTGAAATTGCCAAATGAGGTAAACAGCATCTTGTAGGAAAGTCTCAACTAGCTTTATTACTGTTTTGGGGGATTTTATTTAGCAGTAATTTGTTCAGTAGTTTTCAATAATTCATTCAGTAATTATATATTGAGCCTATAGCATGAGTTTAAGCTGTGAATTAAGAACTTCAAATCAAATAAGACCAGGGACCTACCCTTCAGGGGCCTGCAGACTACTGTAGGCAAACAAACAATTGGAACATGATGTGATGTGACTACCAGCAACACTATGGATACATACAGTGGTGGTGCAAATAAGGGAGTTTGCATATCCATTTAATGGGGCCAGGGAAACTTTCACAAATGTGGATGAGGTCTCGCCTGCCCAGGTGGGTCTCGAACCCGCGGGCTCAGGCAATCCACTCACCTCAGCCTCCCAAAGGCGCGGGATGATAGGCTGAGCCACCGAGCCTAGCTGTTTCATACCTCTTAAAAATCATTACTGAATATGTTTATGTGTCTACTGTGACTAATGATTTAATTTGTCTTCCGAACTGGGTTACTTTTGTGAGTGAGGGATGGCACTAGTAGTATGGGACGTTGGAACAATAGGAACAGGTGGGACTGTCAGGGCATAGAACCAACCCGCCTTGACCCAAATGGTCTGACAGCCCAGGGGGATAAATCACAGTTGCTACTCTCCAGAAGCTCACGTCCTGAGGAGGGGGGCGTATGGATGGTACATGGGGTACATTTTGTGCCTGTGAACTCCATATTTGGAAATGTAGGTGAGGGTGGGTGGACTTGGATGTCCTGTCTTTCTGTGTGGGTTAAAATGAGGGCTCAGAATGCTGATAGTGCTCAAAATTCTGGATCATCTTGCAAGACCTGTGGTACACAGACCACCGGACAAAGAAATTCTGCTGCCTCTTTCTCTCGGGGAGTCTGTAAACATGAAGCTGTTTCTGGTTTTCATTATTCTGCTGTTTGAGGTACCCACAGGTAACTTACCCAAATGTTCCATAAAATCCTAGGAGGTATTGCTGGTTCATAAGAGTGGGGACAGGATTTTCACGATTGTTGATATCTGGCCAATATCATCAAAAGTACCCATTCTCCTGGGTGCCTGACTTGTGTCTGTGCTTTAGAAGAGTGCATCCAGGGAGATAAGATAAGGTTGGGGCTGTACTTTCAGGTGTTCTCTTCAAAGGTATCAATGAACTCACCAACTAGAATTCTCTTTGTAATGCTAAGCACAGTTTCACCCAAGAATCTGGCCATTCCCTTTTCAAATGCATTTCCAGGCTACTACAACAGTAAAGAGACCGGCTCATGTTTTGAAGTCATGTCAATGTGAGGTTAAAGTATGTCTTCATTATGGACTAGTTGTATGAATTGAGCACGTTAGTCCCTTTTAATCTCAAATTTCTTATCTGTCAAGTGAGTATAATGACTATATTTCATGATGATTCTTTTTCAAGTGAGGATTACATGAGTTTATAAATATGAAGCACCAAGTTCATGGTAGGAACCCTGTCAGTGAGAGTTCTTTTCTCCCTTGTTAGGAGGAAGGCATATTGTCTTTTTGTGGTTCCCAAATATACTTTGTTAGCCTTCAAAAATGTTGCGTGATTTTAAAATGTAGGGTAGGGAGAACATGTCTCTGCTAGGATGTCTAAGTGGAAAATTAGGCTGTGTTACTGAAGAAAAAAAAAGATATGTAGAAGTTCAACAGCCACATCAATCTTATGACAAGAATTCAGATCTTTGTTCTGGGGCTTGTCCAAATTTTGTGTAGAAACGAGAAATTTAGAATCTCAATGCAATACTCTGAATAGGTGAGAGTTTGGATCTCTAGAGAGACAGCTGTTCTTGGAATTGAGTTTGGTCCCTGAGCAACACACTTACCTGAGATCAAGAGTAATAAGGAGAGTGAAAGACAGGAGGAAACAGGTTATGAAGAAGTCATACAGGCTGAATAAGCATAAGCATTCTCAATAGCATTTATTTGATAAGACCTATGAGATCTTGGCAAAGGGAGATTTCTGCTGCCCATATCAGCAAGTGTAAAACCCAATTACACTCTTAATTTATGAAGTCCTGCCTGTGGTGTTCCTTTAACATTTTTATTTATTTTATTTGTATTTTTCTCTTATTTTTATTTTAAAGATGTGGGGTGCAATTCAGGGTTAGGTACATAAGTGGTCATCATACAGGTAAATTGTGGGTACCCTTATTGATGTTATGCACCCCCTTCTCCCCCGGCAGTGTCCCACTACTGCCAATCCCTCTTCTGTCTTTCTTCATGACTAACCTTCGTTCAATGTTGTTTCCTATGCACAGGTGGGGCACGACCCAAAAATTGCTTTAATGACATACCAGGATACTGCAGGAAGAAATGCAAATTAGGAGAAATATATGAAGTAGGATGTCTAAATGGGAAATTATGCTGTGTTAATGGAGACAAAAACAAAAGACAAGTGGAAGTCCAACAGCCAGATAAAACTTATAACAAGAATTCGAGTGAGTTTATGGACTACATTGTTTTACCCACCATCACCATTTTGACAGACCAACACTAAATAGCCGAAGCCTTACTGGTCTCCACCCTTTCTGAATCAAAAGTGCTGCCTAACTCAGCAGGCTGCAGTAAGAGATTTATCTACTTCCTTCTGTGAACTTGATTCCCCACAAAATAAAGTCCTGTACTTTTCCCTTCATTTATTCATTGATTTAGTCACTCAGTTCTTAAACACATCACGCATAAATGAATAATTGTCATATTTCAGGTATACTAGTAGGACAGGGATATAGAGATTAAGTGAACACACTGGGTAGAAGTGGAAATTTGCCTCTTCATTTTCTATGCAAGACAATATTTTTCAGAATTTCAAGTATCTCTCCTTTTTTGGAATGAAATTTCTTATGTCTAAGCAGATCTGAATGCCTCAGCTTTGTATGTGTGTGTGCATGAATACAGAGGTTTTTGCTAACAGCCAATAATTCATTAGAGGGAGGAAAACTATTTAAACATTTTCATAACATTTTTGGGGACAGATCTGATAGGCAGTAATGACAACTAGCTGTAATTCCAAAATAGCATTTGAAGCTATTTAATGTTCATACTCCATCTTCTTTTTTAGTAGCAATTTGAACATCTTAGTTGGCACAATTTTTAGACAAATCTTTTAGGATCTTTGAAAGCATTACAGGTTCCACTTGTTTCAACAGTATGACATTTAAAGCCTTATAAATGAAGAGGACTATTTAAGAAGCGCCTCATGAGTTAGATAAAATTGCAGTGAGTCACGATGGCAGGAAACGTTCTCTGGATGAGCAGAAAAAAACTTTTTTGGTGACACCCATTGATGTCGATTGATTCAAAGCATAACATTTACTCATAAGGCTTAAAGGAATCCAAGGGCCTTGTTACTCCATGAACAACTCATTATTTTTCTTCACTGGGAGGATGGAGAGATAAATATTTAAATAGATAAATTAAACTTTCAAGAGCATACAAATGCTTGATTTTTGAGGATTCTGGAGAAGTGCATAGAAAACAATGACTTTTGACTTTGCAGAATTTTAGAAATTTTTATTCATGAGTTCAGCATCATGAAAGCTAATGTGTGATTATTTTTGAACTAATTCTGAAAGGGTTTGTAAAACAAAGCTTATATAAAGCTCTTTTTAAAAATTGTGACACTTCACAAGCCCCTCTCATTTTTAGTCTTTCATCACAATGTCACTAGAGGCATTTTTAAGGAGGGTCTGATCTGTTACTGTGACAAAGAAGATACATCTATCCCACTGTCTATAATTCATATGCATCCTCTATGTAAGACCACTAATAAATTAGATAACAATAAACTAGATACAAGAACCATTTCTGGCCTAGTGTCAGATCAACCAAAGACATATCTTCTGAGTTGGGAGAGAGAAATTGAGCCTTGAATTCTACTTTGGGTGGGTCAGATCTTTGTTTTGACGTTTCACGTATAATCCTTGTATCCCCCACACCATAGAAGAACTTGGTGCAGTCAGCATTGTTAGATGCATGTTTATTTGCTCACCTGATTTTTATGCACAAAACTAAATTGAAATCCCATGTTTTCATTATTTACCCTTTTGGTACAGGCAGTATTATTGGAACCTTATTTTTCTTGGATCAGATTTAGAGCAGTCTTCAAAATCTTATCTGTAGATGGTATCACATTGTTTTATTTTCTTATGAGAGGTTAGTTCACATCTATTTTTTCTTTTATACATTGTAATATTCTAGTTTTATTATATAATTAATGTATTTATTTTAAAAACTTTTAAATTGGTATATTTATGGGGATACATGTGATATTCTGATACACGGATGCAACACGTAGTTATCAAATCAGGTTATTTAGGATATCTATCACCTGAACACTTATCATTTCTTTGTATTGGGAACATTTCAAGTCTTCTAGCTATTTTGAAATACAAAATAGTTTTTAACTAGAGTCACCCTATTGTGCTATCAACTGCTAGAACGTATCCCTTCTATCTAACTGTGTAATACTTATTTCATAATGTTATAATGACAGCACTCCCATTTGAGAGGGGCAAGAATGGACTGCACACAGAAGTCCCTGGCTCACAGAAATTTTGAAATCATGCTGAGTCAGCATAGCCCTGACAACAATGCCAGTCAAGGACAAGCAACAAAAGAAAATTATAGGCCAATGTCCCTGAAGGACATAGATGCAAAAATCCTCAACAAAATACTAGCAATCTGAATTCAACAAGGATGAATGAAATGAATTCAGCAGAAAGGTGATTCCCTTTAAACCAGTTGCAGAAAATACTTTGGAATAAGTTTAACCAATGAAGTAATAGATATGTACTTTGGTAAAAACAATTGAAGAGGAGGCAAGTGAAATTGTATCCCATGTTCATGAAAATGAAACACTAATATTGTCAAACGATCTGTACTACCCAAAGTGTTTTACAGATTCAGTGCAATCCCTATCAAAATTCCAGTGACTTTTGTGTTTTTTTACAGAAATAGAAAAAAAAATCCAAGTTGGGTCAATTTCCAATTAGGATAAAAGCACACAAGACTTCAAATAGCCAAAGCAAATCTTGAGGCAAAAAAAAAAAAAAAAAAAAAAGCTGGAGGCATCACACTACCTGACTTCAAAGTATGCTACAAAAGATAACAAGTGTTGGAAAGAATTTGGAGAAATCCTTGTACTCTGCTGGTGGGAATATAAATTAGTATTGCTATTATGAAAAAGCTGTATGAAAGTTCCTCAAAAAATGAAAACTGGAACTACTATATGATCCAGCAATCCCTCTACTGGGTATATGTCTAAAAAAATGGATGTTAAAGAAATATCTACACTCTCATGCTCATTTCAGCATTATTCACAATAATCCACATACAGAATCAGCTTAAGCATTCATTAATGGATACATGAATAAAGAAAATGTAGCAAAATTCTGTCATTTGCAACTACATGGATGAACCTGGAGAATTCTATGTTAAATGAATAATCCGGGCACAGAAAGACAAATATTGCATGATCTCACTTATGTGTGGAGTGTAAGAACAAGTGGAAACAGGGTAAAATGATAGTTACCAGAGACCAGGGGGTGGGTAAATTAGAAACGTGTTGGCCAAAATTTCAGATAGGCCAGAGGAATAAGTTCAAGAGATCTATTGTACAACATGGTGACTGCAGTTAGTGACAATATGAGTAGGGACCCCCAAAACCACAGAATTTATTTATAAAAAATTGTTTATCTATTCTTGCATGTTTAAACTTCAATCACCTTCCAAGTATTCTCCATTTGATGCAATATATGTATCGAGACTTTTTTCTACTGCTCAAAACAGTTTCTGAACTCATCAATTTGGATGCCTTTTAGTGCTTCTGCCATTTTTTGGTTTCACCTCTTCCACATGGGCAAAACGTTTTCCCCTAAGGACTTTTTTCATCGGAAGAAGCAAAAATAGGTCTCTCAGGGTGAGATTGGGTGAATAGGGAGGATGGGCCACAAGGATCATGCCGTTGTTGGTCCAACACTGTTGAGCACTTAGCACAGTGTAGGCAGGTACGCTGTCATGGTGGCAGAACCAGTCACCTGTTTGCCACAACTCAGAACGTTTCTTTCACAAATCGTGACACAATCTTCTCAAAACTTCCAGATAAAAACTTGTTGGTTGACCATTTGATCTAGAGGAACAAATTCTGAGTGTACTACAAGGGGCCTGCCTTCCAAAAGATCATTCCCGATTTTTGGCCCCTGCCTTGTACATTGTATATCTGAAAATTCCAAATATATATATTGTATATGTATAATCACAGTTTCTTTATTTGTCTGTCAATGAACATTTCGGTTGTATTCCATATCGAATGTTATTCAGTCATAAAAAAATCCTGTCATTTGTGACAATGTGGGTAAACTTGGAAGACATTATGCTAAGTAAAACAAGTCAGACACAGAAAAAAAAAATACTGCATGATATAACTTATATGTAGAATCTTGAGAAGCCAAATTCATAGAAGCAGAGAATAGCATGGGGCTTACCAGGGGTGGCGATTGGGAGGAAAGTGGGGAAAAGGTACAAAGTTTCAGTCTTCTAAGATGATTAAGTTTTAGAGATCTAATGTACAGCATGGGGACGGAATAATGCGGTATTATATAGCTGAAATTCGTTATGACAGTAGATCTTAAGTGTTATTACCACACACACACAAAACAGTAACTATGTGAAGTGCCTGATACTTCACTTAATTAGCCTGACTACAGTATTCACTTCACGATGGATACATATATCAAAATATCATATTGGACATCCTAAATATATACACTTTTGGATGCATTAAAAGCAGGAATATAGCACATATGAAATTGTGCCATTTCCAAGCCTATGCCACAAAAAGTCTGCACACATTTGGCTGCTCTACTGGATCCCTGCCTCAGTCACGTGCTCAAGCCCAACGTAGTCTGCTAGGATGACATGAGCGATATGTTGGGGAAGAGCCCCGCTGTCCCAACAGAGGCTAGCCTGGATCAGGCTGTAGTCATCTGACCCCCAAATGCATGAAAGCCAGCTCAGATCAGACTAGTTTCATGCCTACTCAAGTATGACTGTAGACATGGGAATGAGTCCAGATAAGACAGGAGAAAAAGCCCAGATTACCTGTAGAATCATAAGAAAAAATTAAATGCTTATTTTAAGTCACTCAGTTTGGGGATAGTGTGTTATGTAGCAATAACTAAATGAGGCTATAGTGAAGTTAAACTCTCCACTAGAACAGGCCTGCATTTGTAGCCAACAAGGATGCAAAATATATATAAAACCATGCATGGTGTACTGTATTACTATGTTGTTTCACTCTCCAGATGAATTATACTTCCCCACTCATTTTTGGAGTGTTTTGGGGCTTAATTCTGGGAATTTTTTTTTTTTGAGTCAGAATCTCACTCTGTCGCCCAGGCTGAATTGCAATGGCATACTCACAGCCTCCACAGTCACGGCCTGCTGGGCTCAAGTGATCCTTCTGCCTCAGCTTTCCATGGTAGTGCAGCCTTCAGGCGT